TAATTGTAGATAAAATCTCGAACTGTGCGCTTTCTTTCATTCTCGATTTACGCTGAATATTCCCTCTCAATCGCGCGCTAAAAGAAGGGAAGCAACTTTTATCGATATATCAATTAATCGTGCAATTCATTAAATATCTCTCCGCGTTCTGACATTGTGAAATCGGGCGTGCGAAAAGTACGGAGCCGGCGCGAAATTTCGACAGAACGAGACGCCGCGCCGCAACGCGAGAACGTCATCGTGTCGAGAGATTATAAAACAATTGAATAAATCTACTCGCATCGGAGAGAGGGCGCGACATCCGCGGGAAAGAAACGTCCCGGCGGGATAGACAGAGAGAGAAACGGAGGAAGAAATCTCTTCCACCCTCTTTCAACCCCCGGCGACTTCTCCGAGATTCAAATGGCCTCGTTTCAAATCGATTTCGAATTATCTTCGGCGAGCGGATTCTGGCGGAACGGGAGAGAAAAGAGGGTCCGCGCCGGTGTAATGGAGGAAACGGTAGTAAGGTAAGAGGTATGAGAACGAGAAATGGCGGAGGGGGTGGAAGGGGGATGGGGGGAGGGGGTGAAAAGAGTGAAAAACTTAAGGGACTTTTACTGGCCGAGAGAAAATGTTTGCCGGCGAGACAAAGACGTCTTCGACTCTTTCTGTCGTTTTTTTTTCTGATTAAATAGGCAGAACCTATAGCTTTTTACGCGTAATGCACTATGACTCTGGGAGAGGGATATTCTTCTTATTATATATAATCTCGCGCGCTTTTGCTCCTTCGAACTTTCACAGCGTATTTACTTCGACGAAGTAGAAGGAGATCGAGAAATAGAATGGAGTAAAAATCATCTTTGTGTATATATATGTATATATATATATATATATATGTGTGTGTGTGTGTGTGTGTGTGTGTAAAAATGAAAAAATGATTTTCGCATTTAAGACAGTTTAAATAAAATACATAGTTACACAAAATTTATAATTGTTTTAGAATTTTTATCATTTTAATAGGAAAATAATTCATTGAGGCACACATTGTTGATTTATTATAAACTGATAATAATCTCAGAAAATCTTGTGCTTAAAATATTTAGATATCTCTTGAATAAAAGACGTCTGAAGGTATATTTCTAAAGAATTTCTAAAGAATTTTTCACTTATTTTTGAAGAAACTATTTTTCAAAGTTGTATGTATTGGAGAACTTATTTTATTTGAGGTAATTGATTTAAATAAAAAAGATAAGTAAATAAAATTAATAATTGTTTAGAATTTTTGTATTTTTAATAGCAAAAGAATCGAAACACATTATTAATTTGTTTATTTATTATAATTTGATAAAAATTTTCTAAATTCTATATATAATCTCTCTAAAAAAATGTCTCACTTATTCTTTAAAAAACCTTTTTCACCGTTATGTATTAAAAATTTTATTTTTGTATTTAAATAAAATTTATAAATGTTTCAAAATGTTATATTTTTAATAGAATAAAATAAATGAAATACAATATTAATTTATTTGTTAAAAATGAACAATTTTCTAAAATTCGACATTTTAAATATTTATATATGTACATATAGAATTAAAAAAAAAATATTTTTATATAGTATATATATTTGAAAAAATATCTCACATATATATATTTAAAAAAGTCTCACATATTTTTTAAAAAACCTTTTTCACCGTTATATGTATTAAAAAATTTATTTTCGTGTTTAAATAAAATTTATAATTGTTTCAAAATATTATATTTTTAATAAAATAAAATAATTGAAATACAATATTAATTTATTTGTTAAAAATAAACAATTTTCTAAAATTCGACATTTTAAATATTTTATATATGTACGTATAGAATTTAAAAAAAAATCTTTTTACATAGTACATATATTTGAAAAAAAAATAGAAACAATGTTCCTATGATTGCAATATAAATCGAAGTTAATTCTCGATAATGTACGGGGAGCATATTTTATCAAGATATTTTAATAATCCGCTTTATGTATAATTACACGAATTTCACATCTCGCCAACAACTAGCCCGTAAATTAGGTAGTAGACGGCGGTCGCGGAACTTTCGAAGGCCCCGGCCTGCCTCTCGCCTGATTAAGCAGTTCGGCCTGCATTTGACAACGGCAAACGACGACGTTATGCGCCGCGCCGGCGTTATACGCCGACTCGTGCTACTTGTTGGCCCTGACGTGCGGCTGTTCCGCTTACGCGTTTCGAGTTCGGTGCAGCGACCCTCCCGGTTGCGAGTTTCAGGACTACGATATTAGCACCGAGCATTTGTCCCGCCTCTCATTTTCGTCGCCAGAACAGGGGACAGAGTAAGACATAATGTGCGCTCCACTCGCCCCTTCGTAGTTAATTAAACCGACAGATTTGTTACGGCGACACGTAACCGTGCGAGAAACTGGTAAAACTGTTCAAACCATATTTCGCCGTACACATCCTCTCTCTGGCGAATAATGGCGGGATATACAGGATGATCGACGAGGGTGAAAAAAACTTGGACAACTTGTTCGGTCATTTCAAGTAGAAAAGTTCTATGTACTTATATAGGTCCTATTTTGATTTAATGTGTATCAGGCTTGTTTATTTTTTAACATTAATTGTTTATTTATAAATAATGTGCAGTGTTTTCTGTGTGTTATCTAAATAAAATTATATAGATGAGAGCATCTAGATGAAACTTTCGCATCATCTTATCTTTATATAGAATGATAAAAATATGTATTGTATTCAATATTATAATATTATATTTAACATTATATTATTATATATTATATATATATATATTATATTTAATATTTAATATTATATAGAATAATAAAAATATGTATTATCTATATCTGCAGCTTAGATGAAAAAAGCATTACCTTTACTAAATTATCTAGAATGATTTTCAGATAATTTTGATTTAGAATCATAGCACATAAAAATACTTAAATAGTAGGACTTAAAAATTTATACATAAAAATATGAATATATATATATATATATTTATATCCTTTTTATAATTTACATTTTTTTATAACTGTGTTTATATAAACAGTCTTAAAAATTATTATCTAGAAAATTATAGATGAATCGCCATATAATTTTATCTTTTATCTAGATATATTTAAAACAAAATCATCTTCATCTTATCAAAGATGAATTTACATATTTTAATATGGCTAATTTTAAAATTATCTAAGCACAACATTGATAATGTGTTTTATTTTTTTAATTTATTATTTATTATTGCATTTTTAATAAAATGCTTTCTTTTGTGACTCTACAATTAATTAAAATAGAACCCGTGTGTGTTGATATAACAATTTTTACTCAAAATGACCTTCTAAACAAGCTGTATTATAAAAATATTTTATACTCGTTTTAGATTGCTCTGCATATTTATTAATTAATATTATACTGTTAATGTGACACATAATAATGGCAAGATGAAACTTTATTTTCCTTCAGCGTTCAAATTTCCCAATTTCTGCGAATTTCTGCGAAATATTTAATTCAGTTGCAGACTAAAGTTTGATCTTTTGGAATTTTATAATTAATTAAAATAGAAATTATATAAAATATAATTAATTTTTAAAATATGTGTTTATATAACAATTTTTACTTAAAATGGCTTCCCAAACAAGCTGTCAAAATATTTTATACTCTGTATATTTATTAATTAACATTATACTGTTAATGTGACATATAATAATGGAACGGATTCATCAACTGTTCAAATGTCGCAATTTTTACAATATTTAATTTAGTTAACGACTAAATTTACAATCATTATAGGAAAATATACATATAATGAAAGAAAAGAAAATATTTTTCCATTATTTATATACTATTTTATTATTTTTTATATTTGTTATCTTATCATTTATTTCCGTCTCTTCACTACAAAATGAAATTTTTCTATAATCTCGAATAGCTACGTGATATGTCTTCGGATGTATAAGACACGCAAACAGTTATAATCGTCCTTTTTGTGTGGAGATTCTTGATGACCCTCGTTATACGAATACGACTCGTTAACTTGTTCGAGTTGTACTGCATGTGCGACAGCATTATACAGGTATATACGCGTATATGTATATACATACATATGCACCTTCGTAATCTCTTGCAAGATACTTCTTCTCTTTGTCTCTCGCGGTCGTAAAAGCGTTCGGTCTTCCGCTCGGTTGTTGACATTTCTCGAGGCCGAAGAAGCAAAAGGGTGGTAGGGACGATACGATAAGGTACGATCATAACGGACAGGAAGACATCGCTGCAGTCGCGCTTATCTTTAATTTATCGTGAAATTAAAAAGTAACGAGAAATGAAATCGCATGCTCGATCTCGCGGCGGAACGACGAGCCCTCTCGCGGGGAAAACAAAGACATTGCATCTCTTTCTTACAGATGTCACAACTGTCTGATAAAATAATATATCATACTTTTTTTTATTGTATCCGCCTTTTTTTTATTGCATCCTCAGAGTCAAGAGATTACGTACGTTTCCGTGCTCTCTCGTTCTCTATTTTAAGGAGATCCTGAACGTTCTTGAGAAGTCCGTTGTTTTTCCTGTTTTATCGACAAAATGTGAGGTTAGATCAACTATAAATCTATTTATTGGCTATACGGACTGTTTTTTACCTGAAATTAGAGCGCTTCCACATTTGGTAATATTAATACTTTAATTTGTACAGAAAAAAGATTTGTCAATCCGTATAGTCTCATGTATAATATTTTGATTACAGAATTATAAATGCTTAGAATGCATAATTCTGTAATCAAGATATATGAGACTATATAGATTGATAAATCTTTTTTTTGTACAAATTAAAGTGTTAATATTATCTATGTTATGTTAATGTAAATTAAAGTGTTAATTTATCTAATCTCACATTTTGTTAATAAAACAGGAAAAAACAACAGACCTCTCAAGGGCGCGAAATTTAGGATTTCCTGAATAGCGTAGAATTAATTTTTTTTTATCCGAAGCGTCTCTTTCTCTTTGCAGAATCAAATTCTGGCGCATAACACGTCGGCGAGGATCATCTGGTCGAATCAAAGCCTCGTCCTGCAAAGCGTGACAAGGAGCAGCGCAGGAAAATACATTTGCGCAGCAACGAATGACTTGAATGAGACGCGAAGCGAGCCGCTGCACTTTCGCGTTAAATGTAAGTAAAATTTGTGATTATTTATTTTTTATATAGTCATTTATTCATATTTATTCATTATTTATTCATTCCTTTATTTATTTATTTATTTATTTATTATTTATTTATTTATTTATTTATTTATTTATTTATTTATTTTTATTATTTATTATTTATTTATTTATTATTTATTTATTTATTATTTATTTATTTATTTATTATTTATTTATTATTATTATTTATTTATTTATTTATTTATTATTTAATTGTATAATTCATTTATATATTTATTGACTAAGTACATGACATGATGAGTCGAAGACTTGTGAAAATAGAAGAAAATATATAATTCAGTTAGTGATAATGGAATTTTTCACATCGAAAAATAATTATTGTTTAAATAAATCAGAATGCAATACTTATTTATTTTCGATGAAATGTCACTACTTCAATCATATTTTAATTTATTCAAGTTAAGAGAAAAGAAAACTTTAAGAAAAAAAATTGTATAATAAATATAAAAATATAAAGGTGTATGATATAAGCATAAATATAATAAGAAATATGCGAATATTAATAACTGGAAACTGAAAATAAATTATTGCATATTTAAAATTCAGAGATATATCTACTATAGAACGTTTAACTTTACGAGATAATTATTCATGACAAAATAAATTTAAAAAAGAATGAGTGAATAATTTTTTTCGTTATCGCACGTCAATGCAGTGAAAAAAAATTAGAAGAATAATGAAAAATGATATTTCTTGCTCGAGAATCGTTCATCCAATAATAACATCGATGATTTCTATTTTCGACCAATTTAACGCGATTGTACCTGCTTATTGACAAGTATACATATATATATGTATATTAACTCAGGCGCCGTATACATCCGGAGCATCGCATTTGGTATGAATATTTCAAGGGTCCTTAGCGAGCCAGCTACATTTTTTAAACCCAATTCCCGGGTTATGGTCTACTGTTGGCGTGAAAGGTGCCTCTGAATTTCGTGAAAGGAGTGATTCGTAGCGTATCTAGGCGGGACACGTGCGCGGTTCTCGCTCTGGAGCACGAATTTCCAAAGCGGTACCTATACTTCCCTTTCCGCGCAAGTAAGGGAGCTTCTCGGGGAGAGGAGGATGAAAGGAGACTCGCGCACTTCTCTTGCAGAACGCACAATTTGCGAGATATTTCGGAAGATCCGAATTTCAGTTCGAGAATTACGACGAAGCGCTGCCGCGAACTTTAGAAAGTTTCTGGGACCTTTGCGCGAATACATACTCGCGATTTATTATATGTATATAAAGAGGTTTGGGATATGTATTAGTATAAAAATTCTACAATTTTTTGGCAGGCCAAAGTAAACATAGAATTTATTTTTACGATTTTCGTAAAAATTTAATTTTATAATTTTTTGACAGCTTATAGTAAACAGAGAATTTGCAACATTTAATTTTTAATTTTTTGAAAATTTTTAATATTTTGAAAAATTAAAATAAAGAAAGAATTCATTTTTATGATTTTTAAACGAGACATTAAATTTTAAATCTTTAATTTTTGAATGAATTGATTTTTACGATTTTCATAAAAATGTAACCCGGCAATTCGTGAAACAAGGTTTAACTTGGTTCCAGTAAGATCGTTCTAAAGTGATTGAAACGCAAGAGACATTTAATTTTTAATTTTTTGACAGCTCAAAGTAAACAGAGAATTTATTTTTAGGATTTTTGTAAAAGATGTAACCCGAAAATTCATGAAACAAGATTTAATTTGGTTCTAATATGACTGTCCTAAAGTAATTAAGACAAAAGAAAAAAAGACATTTAATTTTTAATCGTTTAAAAATTTTTAATATTTTGAAAAATTAAAATAAAGTAAGAATTCACTTTTATGATTTTTAAACGAAACATTTTAAATTTTAAATCTTTAATTTTTGAATGAATTGATTTTTACGATTTTCATAAAAATGTAACCCGGCAATTCGTGAAACAAGGTTTAATTTGGTTCCAGTAAGATCGTTCTAAAGTGATTGAAACGCAAGAGACATTTAATTTTTAATTTTTTGACAGCTCAAAGTAAACAGAATTTATTTTTAGGATTTTTATAAAAGATGTAACCCGAGAATTCATGAAACAAGATTTAATTTGGTTCTAATATGACTCCTAAAGTAATTAAGACAAAAGAAAAAAAGAGACATTTCATTTTTAATCGTTTAAAAATTTTTAATATTTTGAAAAATTAAAATAAAGTAAGAATTCATTTTATGATTTTTAAACGAAACATTAAATTTTAAATCTTTAATTTTTGAATGAATTGATTTTTACGATTTTCATAAAAATGTAACCCGGCAATTCGTGAAACAAGGTTTAACTTGGTTCCAGTAAGATCGTTCTAAAGTGATTGAAACGCAAGAGACATTTAATTTTTAATTTTTTGACAGCTCAAAGTAAACAGAATTTATTTTTAGGATTTTTATAAAAGATGTAACCCGAAAATTCATGAAACAAGATTTAATTTGGTTCTAATATGACTGTCCTAAAGTAATTAAGACAAAAGAAAAAAAGACATTTCATTTTTAATCGTTTAAAAATTTTTAATATTTTGAAAAATTAAAATAAAGTAAGAATTCATTTTATGATTTTTAAACGAAACATTAAATTTTAAATCTTTAATTTTTGAATGAATTGATTTTTACGATTTTCATAAAAATGTAACCCGGCAATTCGTGAAACAAGGTTTAATTTGGTTCCAGTAAGATCGTTCTAAAGTGATTGAAACGCAAGAGACATTTAATTTTTAATTTTTTGACAGCTCAAAGTAAACAGAATTTATTTTTAGGATTTTTATAAAAGATATAACCCGAGAATTCATGAAACAAGATTTAATTTGGTTCTAATATGACTGTCCTAAAATAATTAAGACAAAAGAAAAAAAGAGACATTTCATTTTTAATCGTTTAAAAATTTTTAATATTTTGAAAAATTAAAATAAAATAAGAATTTATTTTATGATTTTTAAACGAGACATTAAATTTTAAATCTTTAATTTTTGAATGAATTGATTTTTACGATTTTCATAAAAATGTAACCCGGCAATTCGTGAAACAAGGTTTAATTTGGTTCCAGTAAGATCGTTCTAAAGTGATTGAAACGCAAGAGACATTTAATTTATTTTTAGGATTTTTATAAAAGATATAACCCGAGAATTCATGAAACAAGATTTAATTTGGTTCTAATATGACTCCTAAAGTAATTAAGACAAAAGAAAAAAAGAGACATTTCATTTTTAAAATCGTTTAAAAATTTTTAATATTTTGAAAAATTAAAATAAAATAAGAATTCATTTTATGATTTTTAAACGAGACATTAAATTTTAAATCTTTAATTTTTGAATGAATTGATTTTTACGATTTTCATAAAAATGTAACCCGGCAATTCGTGAAACAAGGTTTAATTTGGTTTCAGTAAGACCCTAAAGTAATCGACACGCGAGAGAGACATTTAATATGAAAGCTCTAACAGGAGCTTGCACGAGTTCCAATTCCGCAGACAAGCCCGCGATCCTCAATATATTTAACTATGAATCGTGACGACCTCGTAAAGATAGAGGAAATGGTCTCGGGTAAGCGACCATCTCGCGAGTTACTCTCAAGGAATCGAAATCGGGGATTGTTTCGCGGCGGTTTATTTTCTTGGATATATTACATCGCGCGATGTTGTGTGTTTGGAAAGAGGAAATAACGTTTGGTTTATGCTATCGACACTATCGTAATATAATAGAATTTAGAGCGGCACGGAACACACAAATATACTGAGTGAATTTAAAGGAGATGTAGCGAAAACGATACATATATTCGTTTATTCTGTCAAATTCCTGAAACAATGTATATAAAAAGATCTATTTAAATAAAAGAAATAAAACTCTTGACAGCTTATTGTCAGAGAACTTTTTTATGTAAAAATATCAGTTTCGATATTATTGTTCATGTTTTAATATTTTTAAAAATTCCTGACAGCTTATTGTCAGAGCTTTCATTTATCAAGAATATCAGTTTTGATATTATTGTTAATTTTTTCAACTTTTTTATTTTATTATGTATTATATTCCTTGCATAAAAAAAATATTATTTTCAATTGATCTAATTAAAATTATCGATCAAATTGCTTCAACTTATATACTTATTTTTTTATACTATTCTCAATAAAAAGATATATAAATATTGTACGCAGATTCTCCGTCAAAAAGCATACCGATTTTAGCGATTTACTTGGTAATCGAATATATTATACACGCGTGGAGATATAAAATTAAACGATATTAATTAATGGCTATAACCAAATCGTTTTGTTACTTTTTGATGCATAAATGTTAATTAAATTTCACTTAATTGAAATCGTGCTGCAGTTACACAGTATCGCATTTCCCTTTTTCTCTCTCAATACGATTTATTATTAATTTTAAATCATTCAATACATTGTACAGTCGAAGAGAGAGACCTACAGACGTGACATATATAATTTGATATATATGACATATTTATTTATTTTATTTCATATTAACGGTCCACATTTTTTAATGAGATCTTTATACGTACGAACGTAGAGAGAATTACGGAGTGAAATATACGAGTAACATTTTTCTTTATATTCTTTCGCTTAACAATAATTTCAATTATCATATACACTCAAATCAATAAAAAGGCCAATCATTATTTTTTTATTTATGATTATTTATACACGTTATATTTACAAATATGCGTATGCAGTGAAAAATACCATTTCGAACTGGTTTTACGCGGATATCGTTCGTATAAATTCTTGTGTGTACACTGTATATACATCGTAAATAAAATCCATTATATATATGTCGCGTATTTACTTTTATGCTCGTAAAATTTTTCTCCTCTCTCTCTCTCTCTCGATGCCGCATTTATTTCGCTTTAGTCCCGGAAGCTAAAAAGCCACGATCGGAGTTCAAATATGTGAAGCAATCGAAAATATCGCAGCGAGAAGAACAATAAGCCTCTTAACAAGCGCGTTTAAATTCTCCCCCTTCCATCAAATTCAATATCAAAATTGTTGAAAAGCTTCCAAACCCCATTTCGTAGAAAACGCCGAACGTTATTATACGACTATCGTCGAAAATTAATTATCAATTGCTTGTCTTGCGCGGATTCGAATTACAATAGAAAATCCACGGTAATGATGTGAAACGTATAATAAAAGCTGAAAAGTCCGTGGATATATAAAAGTGATATGCCAAAAGAGAGCGCGAATTTAAATGCGAAACGAAAATATACTTCTGCAACCCCCCAGCCGGAGGGGGACGAATTTCGCGCATTTCAATACGAGGATTTCAATCTAGATTCATACGTTCGTTTTATACATATATTTTATATTATATATTTTTCGCCGATCGCGAACTGCATTTCTCTCCATATCTTTGTTGCGTAATATCAATTTTACCCCCGGAAACGTTCTCGTTCGGCGCGTTACACGATAAAACGCACGTCTCCCTGCCCCCCCTTTTCCCCCCTGCCCCTTTCTCTCTTCGCTCTTCGAGGGCAAAGAGACAAATGGAGACAAAGAGGGGCGCAGATAAACGCGGATAAATTGGAGCGCGGATATATATCGCTAGGAAAGACGAAAGGAAGAGAGAAAAAGGGAGGGGGGCCGAAAGGGGGGCAGAGAGAGAGAAAGAGGGAGACAGTAGACCTTTTTTGCATAACTCTCGTGTTGATAAAACGATTCCACCGCTTGTTACACGTTTTCCACTTTTGGCCCCCCTTTGCCCCCCTCGGCCCCCCTCGGCCCCCCTCTTCGTGACAAAACGCCGAGGCGTGTCGGAAAAATCGTCCGTACTCGATATCGCTGTCGTTTGCGTGTTTTCCCAGATGCAGCCGCGATATGTGGGTCATCATTGGCATATCGTCAGGAATACGAGAAGAAATCTTCCATCCGTGTACAGATAACGCGAGATCCGGATGCTTCGCTCGTTTTGCAAAATTCGCTTTATCTCCTCGGCTCTCTTTTCCGTCCCCTCTCGGAGAGAGAGCTCTATTTCTCCTCTTCCTCCGATAATCCTAGAATGACATAAAATGACACGTATCGTTGAAAACGATGGATTTTATTCTCGCACTCGATATTAAACGCGCGTATATTTTTGTAATTGTAAATTTTTTTCTCGCAAAAGTGAAGCAACGACTGAAATTGTTAGAGTTGGAGCTCAACTAATCCGTTTTAATTACATGAATACGATATAGTGGAATATATTAAGTGCATTATAGTTTTATAATTAAATGTGTTAATAATAATAAATTTCTCTTTCTTTAATCTTCGTCAACATTTAACATGTTAAAATAATTTTTGTATTACACGTGCAGGCAAAGTGGCACTTTGTGTGCGTGTTTTCTGTGCGGAAAGCGGCCGATTTCCCACGCCGCCATCTAGCGGCGACGCGGTGAGTGAATAAGCCGCTGCAAGATGGCGGCGTGCGATCGGCCACAGAAAACGCGCACAAAGTCACTTTGCCTGCACTTGTAATACAATAGTATATTGTGTATCAAGTGCGGAAAGTTGACAATTGTTCACTCGTGTGGGGTGGTCGGACTCGCCTTCGGCTCGTCCATCCCCCGCACTCGTGACCAATTATCAACTTTCCGCACTTGATACACAATATACTATTCTGTAAAATTTGAAAACTAGCTCTTCAAAAATTTTATAAAAAAATCCGATTAATTCCTCTGTCAATCAAAAAATCTCACCTTTTTATCAATGTATGGATACCAACCGCGTATTTTTGATATATTTCACTGTGACAATTTTTTTTTATTTAGCAGCTGGGGATTGAACATTCTTTGTATATTTTATTTCGGGCGAAAGTTCCAATACGCATATTTGACATTTAAAATTGTTTCGAGTACCCGGATATCCGTTCACTGACAGCAGGGTTAAAACAAGCAGCGATTACAATTTTTAAATCTCATTTTAAGAGGAAAAAAAGCTAATAATAGATTTACATTTTCCTCCATTATTTTACATCAATTTTTCATCGCGCGATTTTGAAAAATTAAATTGTCAAATATACAGAGATTTCCATTTTTCTCATAATCTGTAAAATTTGAAGACTTTAGACTCTTTAAAAATTTTACAGAGATGTAATTAACCCTTCTGTCATTGCATAATTTTTCACTTTTTTATCAATACATGGATACACGAGTATTTTCGACACAATACACTGTGACAATTTTTTCTATTTAAGGGAATGCTGCCGGTGTTCTATTTTACCGACTTTAAGTTAGATTAAGTTCATTTTTTATTGAATATACAGATTGAAGAATCTTTTGATACAGGCTTTTAATCTCATTTTTATTACTTTTGTATTATTCTTTTATGTCATCTTTATTGGGAGCGCCATATTTTGTGTACAAATAAACTGCAGAACTTTTGTGTTAAATAACTATTGTTATGAGCTGATGCAAGAGACTAATTTTTTAACTTTGATTATCTTTTTATACGAAATTATTTACTCTCCCCGTTTATTATTGTCAGTTCTTTAATTGTGGAAAAAGATTTTTCAATCTGTACAGTCAATCAAAAGAAAAGCCCTTGAACTCAAAGTCGATAAAACAGACATGGTCAGCATCTCCTTAACAGTTCATGAACATTGAACATTCTTTTTCTTTATATTTAAAGAAGTCTCCGAATACAAAGATTGTTTGTACCTTCTTACGGACAGAGAGAAATTCCAACATACATTTTCAATAATTAAAACAGCTGATATACTTTGAATTAAGATTTTTCTCCGTCGTTACGGACGAATATTTTCCGCGCGTCGCGCGATTTCGCGAAATTAAATCGCCAAATGTACAGAGGAGATATATCTCTTTTTTTCCCTCGATCCGTAAAATTCGAAGAACCTTAGTTCTCGGAAAATTCACAGAGATATCCCGATTAATTGCCATAAATTCCGCGAATCCTGCGATAAATTCCGCGCGCCGTCAAAGAGAGAGCCGCGCCACGTAAGAGGCCCTATCTCTTTCTCCCTTGTAATAAATCGATAATTTTTGCTTACAGTCGCGCCGGTGTGCAAGGAGGATCGGATCATAGTGGTCGGCGCGTCAAGGGGCGAGTCGCTCGACATCGCCTGTAGGGTCGAGGCCGATCCGCCGGCGCACAATTTCCGGTGGAAATTCAACAACAGCGGCGAGACCCTGGAGGTATTGCCCGGTAGGTTCTCCATGGAGAAGTCGAGCGGCGTCAGCGTGCTGAGATACACGCCGACCACCGAGCTGGATTACGGTACCCTCTCATGCTGGGCGGACAATCTCGTCGGTACCCAATCGAGGCCGTGTCTGTTCCAGCTGGTAGCGGCTGGTGAGTCTCTCTCTATGTATGATAAATTGCGCTTCGAGAGAGGCGAAACTTATCCCGGAGTCGCGTCTCGAGGGTATTGACGCGAGACTTTTTTCTTAATCGAGTCGAAGTATTAAATTGATTGTAAACAAAGAAGGGATATAAGAGCTATTAAACATAATACAGTTGTCAGATGATATATTAATAAAATTCATTTAAACGAAATAATAAATACATAAGAAATAAATATTTATGCGAACGTTTCGGCTGACATCTCCCAAGCCTTCTTCAGCGCAATACAAATATTTTAATTATAAATTGAATTGTAATATTAAACATTAAAGACGGTAATTAACAATGTCAAGATAATACATATAATATATTGTTTTTTTAACTGAAATTTTTTAATTTTTTTTATTTTGTATTAATTTTTTAATTTTTGCATAAGTTTCTAATTTTCAATTTTTTTTATAAATATTTATTCATTTGGCGCAACTTTTAGATATCATTTTTTTTTTTTTTTTTTTTAGAAATATTAATTTTACAACATAAAAGTTTTATATTTTTTTTTAAATTAAGTTTAACAGAGCTAATTACTATTTTTATTAAATTAATTATTCGGGGCATTTTAAGATATCCAGACACTCGCAGTGTTTGCTGTTGTCTAAATAAAATTATGTAGATGATTATCTAGATGAAACTTTGACGTCATCTTATCTTTATATAGATAATAAAAATATGTATTATCTATAGCTGCATATCTTATTGTTAGATGAAAAAAGTATCATCTTTACTAAATTATCTAGAATAATTTTTAGATAATTCTAGTTTAGAATTATATTTTAGAAACATAAAAATACGATGAAAATTTATAAATAAAAATATGAATACATATATTTTTATATCCCTTTTATAATTTACATTTTTTTTATAACTGCATTTACATAAGCAGTCTTAAAAATTATTATCTAGAAAGTTATCTAAATGAATCGCCATATAATTTTATCTTTTATCTAGATATATTTAGAATAAAATCATCTTCATCTTATCTAAGATAAATTTACATATTTTTATCTCATCTTTATCTAGCTAATTTTAAAATCATCTAAGCATAACACTGTCCACCCCAAACACTTTTTCTTATCTTTGTAAGTAGTATTTGCTGTTATCTAAATAAAACTATAGAGATGATCATCTAGATATGAAACTTTGGCGTTACCTTATCTTTATATAAAATTATAAAAATAATAGATAATAAAATAAAACATAATAAAAATATATGTATTATTTGAAATTTCCAGATTTGACATATAATCGAGAATTATTTTTATTCCTTGTAATTTTATTTATCCACGAGCATATCTCGATGGTTAAAAATGAAAGAAGCATTTCGTTGAAAGAAATATTTTATTATATTTATTTTTAAGTTGTAGACACATAATTAAATTACAGACTTGGCATACTTTGTTTAAAATTGAGAAAATTCGAGCATATTTAAAATATATAATTATATAAATCATATATTATATACATATAACATATAATTATACACATTTATATAAAGAAACAGATGACTGGGGTGCGATTTTTCAAAAAAAAAATACGATTAACACATTTAATTCGCGAAATCGCAAAAAAAAAATCGACAAAAATATCGCGCGTGGAATAAATTTCGAACGCCGAATTAAGTATATTTTTAATTAACGCTCGGGAGAGCGAGACGAATCGCGCGAGAATCAGGGACGATTAAAATGTGTAAAAAAAAAAAAAAAAAAAAAATCCCCGCTGTTTTTTATGAGATCTCCAGGGAGAGGAGCATTTCGCCCGCGAATCATCCACCCGCGAGTACAATGGCGAGGCGACCAATCATCGAGCGTTAAATCGGCATTAATCCCTAGGCGAATTTTTTCGCGTTTCCTCGTTTTCCCTTTTTTTCACCCCCTTCCCTCACCCTCCCTCTCCACGGATGATCGACAGTGACGTTGACATGGCGATCGGCCGAGAACGTATTGACGTTGACGAATACGTCGAGTGTTAGTGGCACCCATGTAAATGTGTGAGTGTGTGTTCGTGCGCGTCTCTTTCTCTCGAAAATAAAATCTCTCTCTCTCTTTTTCTCTCCCTCGCGGTGTTCCGCCGATGCCAACGATCCGTAAACTGGATGGCATGAAATTATTTTTATACCCTCTCTCTCTCTCTCTTCCCTGTGCGACGTTATTGATGTCGGTTACCATTCCGCAAAGCATTTCGGCAAGGAATGCGCTCGCCGAAGCGTGATGGAACGGTAAAGAGATGGGATTTCCGGGACAGAATTTTTCGCGATAGAATCGTGTGAGACGTCACTTGTTACGTGTAGTACCTATACAACGTGGATATAATATATAATTGGTGTTCCGCGACGTATTTGAGATCCGCGGATAGATATTTCGTTCCGGAAAAAATTATGACAGGTAGAAGAACAGGCCGATGTATCTTGGAAAATATAAATCGCGAATTTCAAGGAAATATTCAGAACGTCAAGAAACATTATAACTCTGCAGGGTTAAAAAATATTTTTTTGAAATCTCATTTGTTATAATATAATGCACATATTCTCTGTTATATAAATTAAATCGTAAAATTACTATATATGCAAAATTACGGGATCTGTAAAAAAAATTGTGACAGATAAAAGAACAGGTTGGTGTATCTTGAAAAATAAATCGCGAATTTCAAGAAAATATTCATAATGTCAAGAAACATTATAACTATACAGGGTTAAAAGAATATTTCTTTGAAATCTAATTTGTTATAATATAATTCATATATTTTCTCTTATAAATTAAATCATAAAAATTACCGTGCAAAATTACGTGGCCTGTAAAAAAATTATGACAGATAAAAGAACGGGTAATATCTTGAAAAATAAATCGCGAATTTCTAGAAATTATAATTCATACAGTCAAGAATAGATAAAACATGTAACTGGTTAAAAAAGCATGGTTTTTTCTGAACTTAATTTATTATAATCCATTCCCTCTTATAAGTTGAAAACTATTAAATTACGTAGTCTGCAAAAAAATTATGACAGATAAAAGAACAATGAATCTTGAATAAATCATGAATTTCAAGAAAATACTTATAATGTCAAGAATAGTAAAAGACACTGTAAAAAAATATGTAACATATTACATAAAATATGCAAAATTACATAAATAATAAATGTAAAATTACACCACAAACAATGCAAAGGTATACACTTTCATTAATATTTTTTTACAGCGTACACTCTACAGAACTAAAATAAAGAAAAGCATAGTTCTTTCTGAACCCAATTTTATTACAACCCGTTCCCTCATAAATTGAAAACTACGCAAAATTACGTACCTGTATAGTTTTGCTTGCATTACCATATGTTTTCGTTGGAGCGCTGATTTTTCGAGGCTACGTCGAAGAAGAAGAGAAGAGAAAGGAATATTATATACAAGAAAAATATGTCATTCCGCGAGTCATCCAATTTGACAGACTTAGCTGTCTTCTTTGCTTACAAAACTAATTTGAATTTGTCTCTATCCCAGCCGAGGCGCCCTTTTACGGGCACAAAAGCGCGAGTTACAACTGCTTTCTCTCACGAAGAATGGAGTCCGAGCTACGTGTAAAGATACATAAGAGGCGAAAGGGCAAAGGAGACGGAGACGAAGAGTTGGGGGAAGAATAAGCGCGCATAAAGTACAAACGAGGCATTGTCGAGATTCAATATAACGTCCCGTAGATCCGCGAGTCGTAACGAGAGAAACGACGTCGACGTCGACGACGACGACTTTGTGATTAACGTGAAAGAAATGAAATCCCCAAGCGTCTCTCGCGGATGAAACTAGGAATATCGAGGGAGATAAGGGTGATTCTGCGCGAAATCGGAACGCGAGTAGACGAGAGAACGTCACGATCGATCATCGAAAATTAGGGGATATAGGGCCAATGAGCGATTCGAGTGACAACAAAAATTGATTTGGGCGAAATCCCGAGGAATTTGCAAGGACTCGAGCGATAACAGGGAAGAGAGAGAAAAAAAAAGAGAGAATGATACATATCTACATCCATTACTATCCTGGTACACTAAATCTCTTGCCGTTCCTAGACACGCGAGAGAATTTTTCACTCGCATACCGGGCTTGATTTCCGAGAGAACGACGGACCTGTGGAGCCGTTCTTTAACGGAAACGCGTGCAAAAAGTCCAGGAAATATCACACGGGACGGAAGTGGTCGTGCGTGTCGTTGAAAAAGATTTAGCGACCCGTGAGGGAAAGAGAAAGAGGAAAAAGAAAGTATCTCGTTTCCATCCGGGTTCTATCTTTGAACTAGGAAGATTACGCAGATCCGCGTGATTTTGCAGTCTGGAAAAGAAAAGTAGTTTATTATAGTTTTTTATTCGATCTAAATTCGCGAGCAAAAATGGCCAGTCGGTTATTAAAAAAAAAATAAGGATGAGAATGCGTTTTTTAACCATTTTTATAGCAGACGAACTCCAAGTATGTTTTATCGATCGAAAAAGTGAGGTTAGATTCGACTATAAATCTATTTATTGGCTATACGGATTGTTTATTACTTGAAACTGAGCCTGCTCTCCATATTTGTTAATATTAATACTTTAATTGTGCAAAAGAATTTATCAATCTGTATAGTCAATCAAAATATAGGTACTTGAACTCATAATTTTGAGATTTTGTAAGTTCAAATACTTATATTTTGATTGACTATACAGATTGATAAAGCCTTTTGCACAATTAAAGTATTAATATTAACAAATGGGGAACTCAGAATTTCAAGTAATAAACAATCCATATAGCCAATAAATAGATTTATAGTTGAATCTATATAATCTCATTTTTTCGATCGATAAAACAGATTAGATCAGCATCCCCTCAAGAATTTTCAAAAATGCGTCGGAGGGATTTTAACCCCATTTTCCAGTTTGTCTTGCAGATTCAGATTCCTGGGATCATTTGGGGACGATTTTTTCTCAATGAAAATGTCGAGGCATCAATAATTTTCGATTGAAAATAAGGAGTTTTTCGCAAACTAAGCCTTGTGGAAAGAAAATTTTAACAAATCACATTCTTTTATTAATTTCACGTAGAGTTTACTTTAATAGAATTTTAATTTAAGACTTAATTACGAAGATACATGCTGGTAAAAATCGGGAACGTGTAAAAAATGACAGTCTCCCTTTTTCGCTGAGGAAAAATCTGCAAATGATCCCAGGAATCTGCCATTAATGTTTACTAGTAATTTAGGGACACCCTCTATAGAAAATTAATCTTCTTTTCCAGAAAGAAGGAAAAATTATGCAGACAACCATAAAATTTGTAACAATTCAGCTTCCGGTTCACAAACACTGGTTCTCTCTTGTAGGAAAACCATTTTCGGTACGCAATTGCACTCTGGCGAACCAGACTTATACCAGCGTGGAGGTGAAGTGCGTGCCAGGATACGACGGCGGATTGCCGCAGAAATTCGTCCTGGAAGTCTATCACGGCGACGTGGACTTCCTCACCAGCAGCCAGCCTCTCTACAACGTCTCCAACCCGGACGAGCCGACCTTTGCCCTCGCCGGGCTGGAGGCCTCGGTCGAGCTCGGGGTCCACGTGGCGGTTTATGCGGTCAACGCCAAGGGACGAAGTCAACCTGTCACCCTCAGCGAGGTCACCTATCGCGACGCCGAAAAACGAACCGGTAAGTACGACTTTAAATATCATTTTAGGCATAAAAGGACCAGATATTAAATCCAACAAACTTGTTCTTAAATTTTTCCCTAATTTTATTTTCTTACAAATTTTACAAATTATTAGAGGGGAATTTAGAAACAAACCTGGTTTCTTATTACATCTAAATTTCTATTTGTATGTGTGTGTATATATATATATATATATATATATCAGAGCCTTTAATTAAATAATTTTGTATAAATAAAATAAATAATAACAAAAATAATAATAATAATAAAATAAAAATTAAATTCAATTAAAATTAAAAATAATAATAGAAATAAAATTCTTTATAAATAAGATTACAGACATATAATTTTTTGTATTACACGTGCAGGCAAAGTGGCACTTTGTGTGCGTGTTTTCTGTGCGGAAAGCGGCCGATTTCCCACGCCTTTATCTAGCGGCGACGCGGCGTGAGTGAATAAGCCGCATTTAAAGCCATTTCCTACGGCTGAGCCGCGTTCAAAGTCATTGCCCACGGCTATTCAAGCACCGTGCCGCCGCAAGATGGCGGCGTGCGATCGGCCACCATTGCGCACAGAAAACGCGCACAAAGCCACTTTGCCTGCACTTGTAATACAAAATAGTATGTGTATCACGTGCGGATTGACAATTGTTCACTCGTGTGGGGTGGTCCATCCCCCGCACTCGTGACCAATTGTCAACTTTCCGCACTTGATACACAATACACTATTACTACATCACGCGGTAGACATATTTGTCGTTTTTTTAGTACTTTCAATTTTATTATTTATTTTGCTCGAGAAAATACTTGGATACTCGAATGCGCGGATCGGAATAAATATCTCGACGGGGAATGAAAAATCGTCCATCACTTACAAGTCGACAAACGAGATCGAATCGCGAGAGGCATCATTGAGGAGAGAGTCAACCCTGCTCAATTTAGCAGAGATCCGCGATTGCTCGGAGATTAGAGAAAGATGCTGGTCGAGTACACGGATCGACGGCAAGGTCACCGCTTTGCGAGGGAGGGAGGGTCTTTCGGGGATGAATCGGATGGAGCTACCAGGGTTCCCGAGGTGGGTGGTGTCAACGCCGCGAGGGGGTAAACAAGACGGATCGCTGCTTTCGAGACAACGTTACCTTTCGTTCGTATATATATATATGCGTACACTCCGTGTTGCTTATCAGGAAAAATTCTCTCTGGAAATTAACTGCGGGAAAATATATCGAGTGTCCCACTTTTATTTCAACCTGTAGAATATTATGTAATCGATACTCTGATATTGCAAAGTAAATATTAATTTTTGATAAAGTAATATTTGCTTGTGTATAAAAAATTTTTTTCTATTATATATTGTACGGGCTGGTCGAAACATTATATAAATATTAGCCCGAAAATGGATGTTTTATTAGAAGGGGTTATAATAAAAATATGTAACACGAGGGACAATGGAGTAGATACTGGCTATTGTCTTCGTGTTGATGCATAACAGTAATATTTATTTGTTTATTCTAGCTACACTTTTTGTTATAGCTTGATGTTTACCTGTGAATAATTAAAAGTATGTCATATAAAAGTTAATTTACAATCAAAATTCACTGAAAAGATTAATTTGACATTTGTTGAACTAAACAAAAAACGACAGATTGAAATAAAAAATTAAACACGTTTTAATTTTTTTTTCTTATTTAGTATAACATGATAATAAAGCATTTTCAAACTAATGCTTATGCAATTTTTTTTTTTATTCCTATCTATAGTTTAACAAACTTTATTCGTTTATTCGTTTTTGACAGCAGATTTTTCGAAATTTGACCAAAAACTGAGCAAACTATTTTTTTTTTTCAATTTAACGCGATAATACATGCATTATTTTTTTATGACAAGTGTTTTAATGTTTTAAACAGAATGTCTCATTGGTAGGCAAATGAAGCCGTTCTCGCCGGGTCGACACGCACGCACAAAACGGCGAACAGTGTTACGCGCACGTGCGTCCTCCCGTAAACATTACCGCGATCCGAGGTAAAACGCGTACCAGAGGCGAATCAATTGTCAGCAAAGTGATTTACGGCCGTCGCAGCGTCGATCAATTTGCCGCTCGATGCGACGCGACGTTCCCGCGTGTTTCGCGTGACTCTCAACCCCCTTTCATCCCTTCCCGCCGTCACCGGCGTGTTTAAAAACGAATTGCGGAATCCGAATGCGAGACGAAGGAGATTCTGATCGCCGCTGAGCGAGATTTATTTCCGGAAATCGATCTCTCGCGCGAGGAAATTTCGCCGGGCAGCTTCTGTCGCTATCGCGCTCTCTTTGTGGGTCGGAAAAAGAAAGGAAAACAAGCCGCGATTTTATTAATTTCGAGGAAGAAAAAAAAAATAATGGATTTTTGTCTCAACGACGTATAGAGAAAAATCCAAGGATCGAGAAATAATCCGTGCGGATATTTTTCCTAGATTATGTAACCGAGCCTTATAGAGATTTTCTGACTTTATTTGAGGCTTAAGTTAGGACGCCCAATCTCAGATTGTTATGCTTTTCTATTTAGGGCCTTTATTACTTTCCAAACTTGGATCAATATAAAAATTTTTGCTCGGCTTTGTAACTCGGACCTATATAAGTAAGATAAAAGAATCGGAATAAAAAAATATATTACTGTCTGAATTAAATTTTAAGGATCTCCTTATTAACTCATTGAAATTGTTAAATGATGGTTCTTCTAATAAATCAGCGTGCAGTGATTTTTAATTATATATTTTATACACTTCTCTACTATATAATTAAATAATCCTTTTTATTTAAACTGGTATGAGTTATAGTTGGACATGCTTAAATTAAAATGTCTTTAATTGATGACCTAATCAGACCCGAGACAGTCTCTAAGCGTACAAATCAAAATTAAGGGGACGCTAACCGTGACTGTTTTACCGACTTTACGTTTAAAGGCTTTTCATTTTATTGGCTATACAGATTGAATAATTCTTCTTCACAATTAAAGTACTGATAATAATAAATGGTGTAATTTTGTATAGAACGCTGTAATTTCGTATAAAAAAACAATAAATGTTCAAAAATTACAGTTTTTTAACGGCCTCTTGCATCAGCTCATAACAATACTTATTTAATACAAAAGTTTTGTAGTTTATTTGTGCACAAAATATGGCGCTTCCAATAGAGATGACATGAAAGAATAATAAAAATGAGATTAAAAGCTTGTATCAAAAGATTCTTCAATCTGTATACTCAATAAAAAGTGAACCTAACCTAATCTAACTTAAAGTCGGTAAAACAGAACAACGGCAGCATCCTCTTAAAAAAATAAAAACTAGATCCTAAATGAGTTTGAGTTTGACTATAAATGTCTGTATTGAATATAGGAACGCCGAATAAATTTCTACTCGACGAATTTGGATCTTTTACGCGATTCTAGACGTCAAAACGCGCTTAACCCATTTTTATAGGCGAAATTTTTTGTCCCACCGTATATAGGCAACGAACATCGAATTAAGGAAAGCAATTACAGATAATGGTCCCAGCGGCACCCAGCGCTGGGACTGCGAAGGAATTAGAAAGGAAGAAAGAGAGAAAGATAGGAAGAGTAAGAAAGGAGCCTATCTAAGAGAGATACGAATGTACAGGGTGGTCATTAAGCAGCTGCAGCTTTCCCTTCCCTCCGCGTTCTTGCGAATATCTCTCTCAGTTCTTGACATTGCTCTCCCCGACTTTCTTCTTCATCCCCCTCTCTTCTTATTCTCTTTACCCTCTTCCTCCCTCGACTCTCTCATCTTTTTGGACATTAAGCCGTTGCGCGTGCGGTAATTTTCCCGGGGTCATTTTTGCCGCTCTTCTTGCCCGATCGTTAACTTCACTTAGCTGTGTTTACCCCCGTCGTCATTTTTCTCCCCTTCCCAGACCTCATATTTCCCCCTTTCATATTCCCATCCCCGGTCTCGCATTTCCACGAGCGACCTCGTCAGACATCGTCCACGAAGCTCCGCGTCTTTCCTTTCCATTTCCGTTTTACTTTTTATTTTTATTTTTTTTTTTTTTTAGATCTCGGCCAGGTTATTTCGTTCCCGGACGCCTTTTTTCACGGTCCAGCGGGAAAGAATAATTAGCGTCACCGTCCATTCGCGGAATCCCTCGGGGTCCGCATGTCCGCTTCAACATTATCCTTTTATCGTCGCGCAACATCGGACGATAAATCACGTCGACGCACCGTTGAAAGGGCAAAAAATCCCCCGAGGTTTCGATGATTTCAGCTATCGAGAGAGAAATGTGAAATCAAAAATCTCGAACTTCCGAAAAGCCCGGACTTGAGGGTAATCGACAAGTTTCCGGTCTTGTTAAAAAAGTGTGAACATCAGTTATCTCTTGCTCGAAATAATCCCCTCGAAATGCTTCGGTCTGCTTCGACACTTAAAACTGTACTCGAATTAGGGCAGTTCGATCAATTTGAAATACATTTTCGAATTTATTAATAAATAAAATAAAATTTGATTTTTTTTTTTTTTATTATTTAAAATATTTTTTAATGTATTTTTTAGCTATTGTAATAACAAATTATGACTTATGACGATGACATATGCAATGACGGAATAAATAGTAAATATAGTTATCGAATTTTCTTGACTTTACAGTTATTTGTTGCACGCTCTAGTGATTTTATACAACGACGAAATGTTTGCGAGATAATCTCTTGAAGGCTAGCGAGGATTTTAAGCAGATTGCGCTTGACGGAAAGGAGATTGTTGAGGGATTGCTAGTCACTCGTGCGATGATGCTTATTTCCTTCTTACTTTTTGTGTAAATAAATCTTAAAATTAAATAGGTATGCATTATATAATCAGAATTTTTCAACTGTTTTTCTTGTTTAAAAATGTAATATTAAAAAATATATATATATATATATAATATTAAAAAATAAAATTTACTCGAAAAGTTTTACTTAAAATATTATTGGAATTCATAAAAATAGTCATTAGATATTACAATTATTTTTG